CCATCCATCCATACATACTTACATACACCCATACATCCCTCCATCCACAAGTATTGAGCTCATATTTGATGTGGTGGTAGCTTGGAGTCATCTCTGATATAAACTCTGTTAGCAAAATCTTTGCTCCCTGCCTCACATGCCAAAGTGTCAATCATTTTAATTCTCTTTGATCAGCGTCATTTTAGTCCTGCTTGTGTGGTTTTATTTGTGCTTTATAAATAAACTGAAACTGACAAAACTGAAAACTGTGACTGGAGGACCTCCAAGCCTCGTGGGCAATCATGTAAAAATCTAAACAACGCTGGAGGTTAAGCTAATCTCCAGCCATTTCACGTCTCTTCAGCACCTGAAGTCTGACAGAACCTTTGAATTTGTTTCACATCTTTTTTGCTTTTGCAGAACAAACAAACATGGAGATGATTTATGATGAAGTGAAGGTTGAGGAGAAGTCGTGGGGTCCGCCTGCGATCATATCAGGTCATTCTTACAAGAAGAAACAAACACATTCTGATTTTGAAATATTATAATAAACTGAATGTTTCATTTGCTCCTGCAGAAAACAAAAAGAAACCTCACGTTTGTTCTCCGCTTCGTGCGGCTCTGGTTTCTTTGGGGATCCTTTGTGTCGTTCTGGTGTCGGTCATCATCACTCTCACCATCAACTGTGAGTGTCTGTTTGTTTCTGAGGCGGTCTGAGATAAAAACAGTAACAGTTTGTGTCTGACTGCAGTCAGGGACGAGCAGAGGAGACAAAACTTCACTCTGACGATGCAGAACCAGAAGCTGCTGGCAGAGAAGGAGGCGCTGAAGAGACGATCAGAAGACCTGAGCAGAGAGAGGGACCGGCTCAACTGGACCATGGAGGCCATCCTCCAATACGACAACTTTCCAGTTAACAAACACTGCCCCCACAGAGGTCAGCAGGTTTATCTGACTGTAGCTTGGGTCTTTTAAAGGCTGTTTTTATAACTTTTGAAACGGTTGTACTGTTGATGTTTGCTCCATACAGCCTGTAAGCCGTGCCTGGACGACTGGGTGCCGTTTCAGTCAAACTGTTATCTTTTTACAAATGATATCTACTACTACAACTGGAAAAACTGGGAGTATAGCCGTGACTTTTGTCAAGAAAAGAATGCAGACCTGGTGGTGATTGAAAGCCTGGAGGAACAGGCAAGATTTAACTTTTATTTCACTGCAACAGGAAAGAGGCTCACTTGAGTCAGAAATGTGCAGCGAAGCCAACAAAGTAGAATTATTTCTTCAATAAATGTGTTTTTAGAGTTTTAAGTTGATTCTGTAAAAAAAAAAAAAAAAGTTTAAAAGTCATTTTATGAGTTTTGGTGAATGTTTTGAAGCACACGCCACATTTAGTCATCTTTTCTAACTTGCATGTGGTCAAATTCATTTATTTCAATGTTTGTTTGATGTGTCTCAACTGCAGGAATTCATAAACAACCACACAAAAAAATACAGTGATTCTCAACACGGATACTGGATCGGGTTGAGCATCAAAAACATGGAGACGTGGACGTGGGTGGACAGAAGTAATGTCACTCTGACGTAAGCAGAGCTCCTCAATTACATCACACCTTCATGACTTTTTAACCTCCAAGGACCAAAAGGTTTGTAATCAGATACGTCTGTCGTCATACGCCGGTGGCCAGTGGTGAAAACCAAAGAGGAAACCACTTTTCACACATCATCTTTTTCCTGTTTGTCAAAAACAAGCAATAACCAGTGGTGGAAAAAGTACTCAAACGCTGTACTTAAGTAAAAGTACAAATAAACCTAAAAAATGTACTCTAGTAAAAGTAGAAGTACCACATTAACATTTTTACTTGAGTAAAAGTAAATAATTGCTTTTAAAAATACTTAACGTATCAAAAGTAAAAGTACTTGCTGATTGTATTACATAATGCATTGTCTACAGAATCATTAAGTGTACCTACTGTATGTATATTTTCTGTAATACATTAATAGTGGTGAGCCATTTTAATGAACAATGCTGCAGATAATACATGTTTTTATTGTGTTTAACCTCTATGAGTTCACACGCGGACTTGTGATTCTGTGCGTCAGAATTTCAGGGATGACCTGCAGACTTAAATGACATTAAGCAAAATAAGAAAGAGGAATGATTTTACCTTTGAAAGTTTTTATTTAACACAAAGCAAAACCAATAATGTGTCGTTTTAACTGCAGTAAACACATTGAAGTAAAAGTTGTCTGCCTGAACAAAGGAGCATTAGAACGAACAAAGGAACATCTGATCAGTTCAACTCCAGTTTGTCCTCAACTCTAGTTAAATACTGTCATTCAACCTTGTAATGGGTCAATAATGAACAATATTTTAACTTCATGACACCGATTTCAAAACTTGGACCAGAGTGTTGAGACATTTGGAGACATCTCTCGTCTCCTTACATCATGAACTGACACATTTTAATATCACAGCAAGAATTTATTGTTCAAGTTCAGAAGAAGTTGGTTTTCAAAGATTTTGAGTCCAGTCTGGTTCTTTTGGGAGAGAGAATCTGTCCTGCTGTACTGAGCAGTCTTTCAGTAATCTTTCAATAATCTTTAAATGATCTTTCAATAATCTTTCAATCTTTCAATAGTCTTTCAACAGTTTTTCAACAGTCTTTCAATAGTCTTTCAATAGTCTTTCAATAATCTTCCAATAGACTTTCAATAGTCTTTCAATAATCTTCCAATAGTCTTCCAATAGTCTTTCAATAGTCTTTCCACAGTCTTTCAACAGTCTTTCAATAATCTTCCAATAGTCTTTCAACAGTCTTTCAATAGTCTTTCAATAAGGCCATGGGTGGTGCGGATCTTCTGGCTGACTCTCGGCGGTGGAATCCATTTTGGGTGTTAGTGGTGCTGTGGGTGCGCCCAGCTCAATGACGTATATACTAGAATATACATCACTGGCCCAGTTCTTCTTGAAGGTGTGTCCAACGTTACCTGCCCACGTTGCAGTGATTCAATGGACCAGCTCCCCCCTCACCATTGATTACTTCCAAACTAACGAACAAATCAAAAAACGCAACGTGAATGTAACTTGTAACTCAACACATTATAGAAATGTAGTGTAGTAGAAAGTACAGATACTTAATGTAAAATGTAGTGGAGTAAAAGTCAAAAGTACCCACGTTTAACTCAGTAAAGTACAGATACATGAAAAATGTACTTAAGCGCAGTAATGAAGTACTTGTACTTAGTACAAGTATCCCACCACTGGCAACAGCCAGCTGCTCCTTCACATCAGACAGGCTGTGAAACACAGCTGTACTCGAGCTATTAATACAACACAACAGTTGACATTTTAGTTTGATTTAAATGTTTTGCATCATATTTATCTTTACTGTTTATCGTTTTGTGCACTCACAATAATTGTCTTTAAATGTGCAATAAAATGAGTTTGAAAAACATCAGAGAAAGACTAAAGGAAGCATCTAACAAAGTTAAGTTAACAAAGTCAGGTCCTCTGGACAGACTCAAAAACACATCTGGACTCACTCAGCCCTCTGTGAATAACAAGCAGCCATCAGGGCACTAACGACCAGCTGTTAGGCTGCTGGTCCTCCTTTTTACACGTGAACACCTAGTTCTGGATGTCAACAACAAACTGCTTGATCCACTATGACAGGGCTATTCAACTGGTGGCACGGGGGCCAAATCAGGCCCATGAGTGAGCTCCGTTTGGCCCACCAATGGGCTCATTTTTTAATAAGACTAGATTTTAAACCATAAAACAACCTTACTTAATGACAATAACTGCTGGATGTCTGGCCCCTGAGCAATTTAGTTGAATAGCCCTGATCTATGAGAAGTTGCTGCTTATAGAACTGAGTTTGTTGCAGCTCCTCAGACTGAAGACGTCTTTATTGGGGGAATCCGTCTAAAGGACCTTACTAAACTTTGGTAGATTTTTCTACCTGGATAGTCGAGCATGCGTCAGGACGCTAAAGGAAGCCTCTCTGCTACTAGGCTGACCAAAAAAAAAAATGAGAAAGAGTTGGAAATATTAATACAAATTTTATTAATATTTTTCCTCATAATTGATCCAAGACATTTATAAGACTGTGATCAAGATGTGTTAATCTAGTCTAATACTTTTAACAAGGTTAAGTCAGGTCCTCTATGGATTCTTCTTTGTTTGAAACATTTTGTCTTTTATCTAAAAGATCTGACTAAACTTTGTTAGATTTATCCACGTGGATTATTGAGCATGCATCGGGACATACTGGTCTAATGCACATCAGTTTTGCTCATGACCCGACATAAAAAGTTAATGATTCAGAGGTATCAGTTTTTGAGGTGGCTGCACAGATGAGCCATGAAGATGGGAGGACGAGTTGCTGAAGTCAGGTTCAGAAGTGAGGGGAGCAGCAGGAGGGTTTCACTATGTTTGTTCTGGGAGAAGTTCAGAGGATCTGCACTGCGTCTTTGTGGATCTATAGAGAGCATCTGATAGGAGGCTGAGAGAAGAATTGTTTAATGAGGAGGTCAGGTGTGGAGATGTGAGGGTGGTGCAGATCATGTACAAAGACAGGTGGGTTCAAGTTGGAGATTACATTATGGATCAGCTCTGAGCCCCTTATTGATGACAGAGATCAGGCAGAAGCGCTCGTTTACTATGATGTTTGCAGACAGAGTAGGGAGCAGGTGGAAGAGAGTCTGGAGAGGTGGAGGCTTGCTTTGGGAAGAAGATGAGTGAAAGCTGGTAGAAGTGAGACATAATCCATGTGTGTGAATGAGAGGGAGACAGGTGAGGATGTGTTAAAGAGCCTGGAGTCAACCTGCTGTGATGTTTGTGTTGGGCGTGGAGTTTCTAACAAAGACAGGAGGAGCAGCTGGAGGTGGCATGGACGAAGATGTTCAGATTCCAGAGGGTCAGCTCAGGATTGAAGGCAAAGTTAGAGAGGAAAAGCTGAACTGGTTTGGACACGTGTAGGCAAAGGACAGTGGACACATAGAAGAAAATATATTTTTATATGGAGCTGCCAGGGAGGAGGAGAAAAGGAGGACTACAGTGAAGATGTGTAGTGAAGGAGGACCTGCAGAGGAGGATGCTGGGAAGATGAAGATGAGGAGAGCAGCTGAAAGATGAGGAGGAAGAGCAATAAATGACTGATGAACATCAGCACAAGTGAAGAGAAATGTAGAAGTAACATCTGAACTGATGCACATTTTGTTGTGATGTCTTCACTCTTCAGGTTCTGGACCACAGAACAACCGGGTTACAGAACCTCCTGTGCTTTGAGTAACCCTTATGAAGCTGCTTTATCCAACTGGGACAAAAAGAGCTGCGACATGAAGAACCGCTGGATCTGTGAGGGCAGAGCTTTAATCCCACCGGATTAGGAACATTTCAGCTCTTATTCTGTTAATGATGTTCTTTCTCTGACAAAACTGATCATACTTTCCTAATATGTTAATAATTGTATTTAATTGTGAATATGGGACTAAATATTATCCTTTGAGCGTTGAGTGAGTTTCGCACAGAGAACCTGGTTTACAGGAGAATATTATTATTTGTTATGTTGGAAAATGCATCAGCTGAGATTCTCCTGTTACAATAAAAACAATAAAGTATTTATTTGAATTAATGTCACTGACATGGTTTAATTACTTTACTGGCCTTTCATTGGTCATTGGCTGGCAAGCCATTGCCAGTTAACAACATTTTGTTTCTCTGGGCTAAATACGAAACTCGTGAGAGGATTGATATTTTTTTGATGTTTGATGGTTATTAGGGCCTGCCAGAATAAAGGATTGGAAGGTTTTCCATAGATGTTCAGGTCTCGCTTGTAAATTAGACTGTTTGTCTCAACAGGATTACCTGTCTAAATAAAGATAAATAAATAAATAAAGTATTGGTGAAAATGTTTTTTAGCAGAATATTTCAGAAACCATTTGACGGACTGTAATATACAAATTTATTGGACTCATTCTGATTCAAGATGGCCACCACACATAGGCGTCGCAACAATTATATGTGATGGGGATGTGCCCCCCCCCCCCAAAAAAAAAAAATATTAATGAACTCAGCACTGTTTCTATTTCTTCGTGAACGAAATCATTGAATACTCAAACCACTAAAAGTCCACTCCGGGTTTTCCTGGTTACCTACAACAACTGACCATATGCAGTGTTTCCCCTCCATCATCTGCCTTGGCAGGGTACTCACAGGGGGAGGAGACCCCTCTGTTTTGCAGGCTAGCTTAGCGCCACATTGGTGCTGGCAGTTGTTGATGGGGGGTGGGGGTTTAGGATATGTGAGAAAAGTGAAGCGCTACTTCTGTAGCATCCTAGCTAATGCATCTGTATTGCACACCGTTAGCTTAGTGCTATGTTTAGTGCAGACAGTTTTTTGACATGGGGGTGGGGGCTAGGATCTAGGAAGCTTGAGAAAAGTGGAGTGTGCTCTATTCACACAAGGAGAGCTGTTGGTCAGGCTACTTCTTGTTGCTCTCTAAAATAGTTACTGAAGCAAGTGTTTACTTATATAGGTAAACGTAGATGTTTAACAACACGCTAAAATACACCAGAATGCAGGAAATGGCATCTTCAAATTTTTCTTCAGGAGATTCAGGAGGGCCTGAAGCAGCCGCCAGCCGGCCAAGCTGGTGAGCTAGGTCCTGCCTGGAGGAAGCTCCCGGACCAAGGGCAGCAGACAAACTGACTCCAAGGGCGGAAAGGACACGACCAGCCACCACCATCAGCTTCGACTGCAAGAACTACCAGAACGTGTTCCAATAGATCCGCAGGTCCTTCACCAACGAGTTGGGGGAGGCCGGAGAGGAGAACCAGCAGATGCTGCAGGAGCTCGTCAACACCAGCTGTTACCAGAAAGTACGCCTGGACCTGCCATTCTGTGTTCATTTCTACTTCCTGTCCTCTCAAACACCAGCAGGTTGAAGCAGACGGCCGCTCGTCCTGATCCTGGTTCTGCTGGAGGTTTCTTCCTGTTCAATGGGAGTTTTTCCTTTCCACTGTCTCCTTTGTGCTTGCTCAGGATGGGAGACTGTGACCAAGTGAAGATTCAACACGATTTGTTGCTTCCTCAGATAGATGACTTTTCCTAATTGGCTGTTTTATGTATGTTAATTGTAACTGCTCCCAAAGTCTTCTCGTCTGGTGCAGAATAAGGCCACGCTCCAACTGACGCTTACCCAGCTTTTAATTATTTCTTGTCAACACAGGACATCTTCTTTCACCAGCAAGCACCATGAAAAATGTGCTAAATACACAATATAAACACAAGTGTTAACAAAGGTGTCCCCCGCCTCTCACACACTAACTGCTGGACATGGGCACCACTGTGACCCCCGTGACCTGAAAACAAATAAAGCAGGTAAAGATAATGGATAATATTGTTTAATGAACACTAGGGGGCGCTGCATGACATCACATGGACAACATTCGGTACTAAATTAACAAGAAGATGCAGTTTCCATCTCTAAAGTCCTCATGAGTAACTTATTTTATAGTTCCTAAAGTTCCAAGTATTTACCCAGTAAATTACCAAGTAATTGAATATTTTAACACCTGTGGTTGCTCAGCAGTTTGTGATATTTTACTGAAAACTTTGTGAGGACGTGATTACCTGGTATTACTCATTACTACATTGTTACATTACTAAATGTTTGGTAATTTAGGGAGTGGCAGAGAAAGAGTTAGTAGATGAGTCTGTAACAGAATAAAACTTTAAACAACACTGTACTTAATTTAACATATAACGAGTTTTGTTCAGTTATTCACTGATTTTTTTCCACTCCGACTGATCATCTTATTTTTAGAAATAATGCTATATTTAAAAAAAAAAAAAGATGATGCGTTACAACTAGATCAACACTTTGATTAAAGCAATTTCAGTTTCAGAGTGTACATATTAGGGGTAATAGCTGATGTTTTTATTTTTTTAAAGTTCATATAAAGAGGCAGAGAAAATGTTTCAGTTTCATTCTGACAGTCAGAAAATGAAAGCAGTGTGTGTGTGTGTGGGTGTGTGGGCTATATTAAAGGCAGGATGCAGGAGACACTTCACATTTTCTGTTTCTTCAGGCTCCACAGCTCTCCTTAAGCGGATCAGAACCAACACCAGCTCCAATCATGTTGGCCCGTGTTGGTGAGTACAAGCACGTCCTCGTGTTCATTTGGTGACACTGTCAGCATTACGGCCTCAGAGCTGAATTTCTGAACTAAATGTTTTTAATTGAATGATGTTTTTATTCTCACTAACACTACGTTTGAATAATTCAACTGTTCATTTGACTGAGTCAGTTCAGTTCATTAAAAATCTTTATTAGAAACACAGAGTTTATTCCAAGTCGTGGTGAAGCGGAGGTTGTTAGAGTCTGACACCGGAGGGCGATAATGTTTCTGCTCATGTCTGTTTGGCTCCATGGCAACTAATTTAATACTAATTTATCAGGTCTCTCTTGTAAATGAGTCCTCGAGGCTCAGAGGGATTAACCTGTCTAAATAAAGGTTGAATGATTTTTTTAAATCATTTTAATTTAGTTTAATTAAACAGCCACAGGATTAATTTCAGTGAATCTTTCAGAGATGAATCACTGGATGAACGTCTTGAACTAACTTTTGGAGTCTGTTAAAATTAAGATGGCTGCCGCAGCTGACTGATCTTTATTTAGACAAGTTAATCCCATTGAGCCTCGAGGACTCATTTACAGGAGAGGCCTGATTTCAACAAAGGATGAAGACAACAATAGACAATTATAAAAGAGGCGTACAGATTTTTTATTTTTTTTTCAAATTAAAATAAGATGGCAAAAAAGTAGCAAAAACAGCTAGATTATAAGATGAATTTAGAAAACTAAAAACAGGAACATGTTCAGCTAGTTTTACAGAAACTGAGCTAAAAAAAAATTTGTGGTAGAAGCTGAGAGTCGTCTTCAACTGGCACTATAAGCTCACTTCTGCTATCTTTAGCATTTAGATAATATTTTTCTGCCTTTAGCTAGCATTTTGTTACTTTTAGCTTTTAATGTTTAATTTTTAGCTTTTAATCAATCTGTAGCTACTTTTAGCAAGACTTCTGAGTGCTGTTTGAGTGGGTAAATGAGGACACAGATTGTAGTGTAAAGCACTTTGAGTATCTCAATAAGATAGAAAGGTGCTATATAAGTACAGTCCATTTACCATTCTGTTAATTTTAGCTGATGTTTTAGCTTTTAGCTGATGTTCAGCTGTTTTTGGCTAAATTTTAATAGTGTTTTTAGCATTTAGCTCGTGTAACGTAAGTTTGACTTTGGCTGCTCCCTCCTTCACAGGGGGCCACAGCAAGCAGACTCACATGGAAGATTTGGCAATTTACTCTTTTGTTACTTTTAGAGCTCAGTGTTTTCCTACTTTTAACTTTTAAACAATCTTTTGAACTTTTTGCTAGACATTTGGTATTTTTAGCTGATATACTTTCAACATGTGTTTTGCTTCTTTTCACATTTAGCTTTTCTATTGTTGCTTTTAGCTAAAGAGTTCTACTTTTAGCTATTGGAACATTTTGCTACAAGTGTCTTTCTTCTTCTAGCATCTAGCTAATGTAATGCAGCTTTAAGCTGTTAGGTACTGTCTGCTTGTTTTAGCTTTTAGCTAGTGTTAAGCTTTTTTTTATTTAAATTTTTTTTGCTTTACGATCTCAGTTTCAGCTCCCTGTGGTCATATTGTTGTATTTGAACAAAAAAATGCAGTTCCTGTGGTTCCTCGCAGACTTTCCTTATTTCCCGCATTAACTGTCACCTTCCTTCTCAGCTCATTAATCAGCTGCAGCATCTCCCGTCTTTGACTTGCAGCTGAACTCCATCCATCCATCCATCCATCCATCCATCCATCCTTTATATTTACTCTCTTCTTCTTTTCCGGGTCGTGGGGGTTACTGTGACCATATATCCATCAGTTCAAAAAACGTTTTTCATTCATCATGTCCTGGATGACTGAGAATCTTCACCAGCACATATCCATCAGTCACTGGGCGAGAGGCAGGGGACACCCATGACAGGTCTCCAGTCCATCATAGGGACACATGGAGACAAAACGAGACAAACAACCATTCACTCTCTCACTCACCTTGACTTCCATCTTCGTTTCTTTCCCTCAGGAACGCCGCTGAAGCAACACGATGAGCTGAGGATAGTTCTAGTGGGGAAGTCTGGGATTGGGAAGAGCGCCTGTGGGAACACCATTCTGGGTCGAGAGTGCTTTGAGTCCAGGTGCAGTCCCAGGTCTCTGACTGTGGACTGCGCTAAAGCAATTGCTGTGGTGGACGGACAACGGCTTGCTGTCATCGACACTCCGGGTCTGACCGACGCCAGCTTTGGTTCGGCTAAAACAGCCAAAGATCTGAGCCCGTGCATCTCTTTCTCTGCTCCTGGACCCCACGTCTTCCTGGTGGTCGTCTCACTCAGCAGGTTCACTGAAGCAGAGAAGCAGATGGTGAAAAGGATCCAAGAAGTGTTTGGAGAAGCTGCAGACAGATACTGCATGGTCCTCTTTACTCACGGAGACCTTCTTGAAGATGAAACTATTGAGGAGTACTTGGTTGACAGTCCAGACCTGCAGGCCCTGGTGTCCAGCTGCAACAACCAGTTCCACATCTTCAACAACAGACTGAAGGACAAGAAGCCTCAGGTCATCAAGCTCCTGCAGAAGATCAGAAACGTCGTTCAGAAGAACGGAGGAAGCCACTACAGCATCGAGATGTTCCAGGAGGCTGAGAGGGACATCGAAAAGGAGAAACAACGCCGCCAGAGGGTGCAGGAAGAGGAAAGACGCAAAAGGATTGAAGCAATGCAGAGAGAAATAGAAGAGAAGTGTAAAACAGAATTAAAGAATTTAACAGATGAAGTCCAGACGCTGCAGAAGAACAGAGAGAAGACAAACATCCTGAGAGAGCAGCAAGAGAACATGCGCGACAAGTATGACATACTGTAAAAAATATACTCAACTTTACAAACGTTTGTCTCTAAACTTTAGCCAAAAGATAAGAATTTCACTTTTTAAGAAGTTAAATTTCATTCTTTGTATGATTTTTTTTTATTACAGCGGAGTTCCAGGAACACAGTGGGTCATCGGAGCCAGTGGGGGCCAAATCCACCCAGGAGGAAACCTGATGCAGTTTGAAAATGAAGGTAAAGAACGCGTGCTTTGATTTTTAAGTATCTTACAACACAAATGTATTTCTGTCAGACGCTCCATTTTTTAAGAATCAACTTTATTGTTTGTGATAACGTATTATTATTATTATTATATTAATGTATTAGAAGTGTCTTCAAAGTTCTGCAGATGTGGAAAAACAATAGTTTGTTCTCTTTCAATAAAGAACAAAAAAATGAATAAGCTGAAGCTGACAAAAGTAATATTGAGAAAATACAATTACTGAAAATAAACTGGTGAAAATCAGTAATTTCATTTTTTGCTCAACAGAATTTATTTAGAAAAACAAACTAAAGAAACTGGTCGTGACACAAAGGATGGTACTCAAACTGAATATTTTATTGCACATCCAACTATTTTCAGTCAGGTCATCTGGACAGTTCCTTTTTTTGTGCTGAAACGTTTCACCTTCGATCCAGAAGGCTTCATCAGTCAAGGAAACACACAACAAAACTGATTCTTCCCCCAACAGCTTACTCTAAAGTGGAACAAACCAGTTCTGCTTGTGATAAGATGGTCTATTTGGAACGCCCCCTCCTCCATTGCCGGCCCTCTTCCTTGTTGACAGTCGTGTCAAACTGGTTGAAAACAACAAAGTCCATGCTCAATAATCCAGGTATACAATCCAACATTTTTCAGTCAGGTCATCTGGACAGTTTCTTTTTTTGTGCTGAAACGTTTCGCCTTCGATCCGGAAGGCTTCATCAGAAGAAACTGTCCAGATGATCTGGCTGAAAAATGTTGGATTGTATACCTGGATTATTGAGCATGGACTTTGTTGTTTTATTGCACAATTTCTTGAGGCAACCAAGTGATTTCTGAAACTTTTCTGGGACTTCTACACATGTCTACAGGTGTTCTGGTCCATCTGTCCACAGGTGTTCTGGTCCACCTGTTCTCCAGGTGTTCTGGTCCACCTGTCCACAGGTGTTCTGGTCCACTTGTTCCCAGGTGTTCTGGTCCACCTGTTCTCCAGGTGTTCTGGTCCACCTGT